ACTTGAGAAGGTAGGTGATGTGGATGTCGTGGAAGACATTTTGTCCCGTAACGCTCGCCGTACTGTTGGGGGGGAGAAGCGGTGGGGGGGAGATGTTCATGTTGCTGCGGTCTGCAGTCTGAACGCTAGATGTCGCTGAAAATTACACACTGTAGCTTTAAGTAAATAAAACTGAGTTAAAGTAACTAGTTACTGCTGACCTCTACCTTTATCTCAGTCTAAATGTGTCAGAAATGCTACAAAGATTTAAGCACTGAAAAGCATGCAAAGTTTAACTAATGCTCTCCTCTAGGGTTATGCAAAGATGGAAAATAATATCCAACTTTTTCATTTTTCACACTGGCTCACATGTCAAGTCGCAGGTGCTTCTTTAGCTATTTTAGATCCACTCTGCTCCGGCTATCCGGCTATAATTAGGGAATAAAAGGACTTATTGAGACAGTGAAGCTTAGGACGACAGCTCCCTCCCACTGAAGGACGGACGATGCAGCGGACGGCTCAAAACCTGGATGAAAGCCTCCTTCATTCCTTCCCACAGGCTTCTAATTCTTCTCTGGTTTAGTATCATGAGGAGCTGTAGGTATCTGGCAACGGCACCTTGTGATCTCTTAATGAACAGGACGGCCCCTCTGAATCCCTGGGGTCCTTTATTCACCAGGTTCCTTTTTTTTTTGTTAACTGGAGAGAAACCAGGAGGATGTGAATGCGACCCACCTTCAAACATGCTCAGCCTCCCAACAGATGGCCAGCTGCTGTGAAAGGTCACTGGGTCGATCTTTGTGCATCTGCTCACGGGAAAAACAAACAGTGTCACCTTTACTGTCTCTGTTCTCTCCAAGGTGCCTATTGATCGAGGCTGGAAAGGAGGCACCTCCACCATGAGCGTTCACCGAGTGGTAGCCAATAAACTCTATTCTAATCCATCTGATACAGTCCCATGAAAAGTACTCATAGTTATTAAAATTATCTTAGATTAGTTTTTTTGAATTTATCTGATTCAGTAATTCCTATTATGCGCAGTAGTAAAACGAAAATAACTCAGTTGCTGTTGTTTTTTCCAAAATTGAAAATGTGACAGGAAGCTTCTAGGAATCTGATATTCAGCCTCATTATTGTGTTTAAAATGGTTCATTGAGAGGTTTTGATGAAAGATTGAGCTCAGTTTGGTAGGTAAACAGGCTAGAAGCAGAACTGGGAAGCCCTTAGATGACTGAGCCGACTGGAAGCAAGGTTTAAGGCATGGAGACAATCTGGCAAAGACTGATTGTGAGAGGCTGAAAAAAACGTGTTTCTAAGTAATGTTAATTTCAAGTGAAATTTTAAAAAGCAAAAAAAGAAAATGTATATTTGTCTCCATCCATTAGAGCAAATAAACAAGGTGATGCAAATTGTAATGCCATCAAACATTGACTTAACACTGCTATAGAACACAGGAAGTCACAAATCAGAGATGGACCGAGGTTGTAATAAGTGTGTTGAATCTGACAAATTTTACTTTCCTTATAATTTCAGGCAGTATTAGCGATGGTTCATGCCCTTCAGAGACACCGAGAGAGAAATGTGATCCTAATGCTGCATTCAGGATGTCAAATCATTGAAAACAGCTGATTAGTAATGTAAGGTAAATCATCGCAACATTGGAAATATTCTTCTGCACCCTCTTTAGATTTACAAAAAAAGTCAACAACACATCTGAAGCAACTGCAAAAGGTTTTTTTCAGAAATTTAGAGCGTTGATTGAAATGTTGCTGTTTTTCATCAAGATGTTCAAATGTGATACTTAAAAAAAAGGTTTACTGAAATGCAAATACTGAGTATTAAGCAACACCCCCCACAAACAAGAACAAGAATCAAAGAGGCCTGTTGCACGTTCCATATTTTTGTGAGGTTTTCGTTTGCTTCCTCCTCTGCATGGATCTGCCTCTGCTGCAGCATATTAGCAAGGAGTTTTCAGTGTGAAGGAAGGGGTTTATTTCCAACCACATTTGACATGTTGGTTGTAAATTCAGTTTGCAGGTTTCATCTTAACCAGAAAACGTCCTCCTATGGTGCTGTGTTGACTATATGGCCCCTGAAGAGTTGCAGATAAGAACAAAGTTCTCCTTGCCTCTTTTCTAGTTCTGCAGATTGAACATGACCTGTGGATCTCCTCTTTTCCTTCCAATTAAATTC